TTTACAAACAACATCCAAGCTTTAACATCTCCACCGAGGATGAGTCTGACCGACCTAGCACCTGCCAACACAAAGCGTGCCCGTGAGATCGCAGCGCGCTCATTTTTAAAGTTCCTCGAGCAGGAGGAGGTTACTTGGGAGTACCTGCAACAGTGCATGTAGCGCGAGAGGGCACTTCTCGCACTAGAAGCTGTGATGATCAAGTTTGGCACGTATCTGGCGTTCAAGGAGAGCCGAAAGGGACAGCTCTTAGCTCGATACTCGGTCATGCAGTAATTTCGACAAGCCAAGAATTGGCTGCAGGAGCATTTCCCACAGCATCGAGCAGTAATTGAAAAGAATTTGCTCAAGAAAGGACAGACACTCGAGCGCCATTGCATGAAGCGTGAGTCAGGGTCGTTTGTAAACAAGGCCCCAGCATGCACAAAGTCTTCTATCAAGAAAAAGATAAAATACTTGTATTCAACTGCGGATACTAGTGCTGACTACCAAGATGCAACGCTGTTGTGTTTGCTTTGGTACCTCTTTGGGCGTGCATCAGACCTTACAATGCTGCGGAAGGCAAACCTGTCTATCGGCTCGGGCGACATATTCTTCGTCCGATTTATCTGAGTTAAAACTTCTGTAAAGCAAGGTCTTTCACTATTCCCTGATGAAGACTTCACCACACGTTCTCTGCTTGCCATAGCTCTCACACTTGTGACCCACTCATCGCCAACTAAATCCGTGTTGACTCAACTTTAAACGCAAATGGCTATCTCACAGTCCATATTAGCTCCAGCAACTTCGCTCATCGATTTGCTCGATCATCCAGAGGCTGTGGTGTCTTCACATGATATATTATCCACCGCTGCTAAGAAGGAGAACATCACAGATGACGCTCCCGGTGTACACAGCTACGTCAACCGTGTTCTTGATCGGGTTGCTGTAAAATCTGGCGTAACCGAGCGCTTGACATCTCACTCTTTTCGGTGCGGAGGGGCGCAGCATGCAAGTGGGTCTGGATTGTGTGTACAGTGGATCTTCGACCGAGGCGCCTGGAATATGACAGCGACAAACAAAGCCTTCGCGTACGTTTTTAATACGGCTTCCGAATACCACAAGGTTGCCCGGGTATTGAGTGGGCGACACCTCGATACCGACGTATCTATCCTATCACTTGATGTCTTCGACTTCGGTACGCAGACAAAAATACAAACTGTTGAGACAGCGCTCTTCAATGCTTCTCAAGGGCTCAATACTACACAATACAACGTAAGCGAAAGAGTGATTGAAACGCTTATCACTTACCTGATGATTCATTATACATCGTTGAAGCAGCTAAAGAAAGACGGACTTGTAGTCACACGTTTGGAAGCGTGTGTAACCCAGCAAGGTTACCCCGTCAGCGAACTTCTAGCTTAGTCTTCACATCAAACCTGCTACACGAAGACAAATGTGCCACCGATTCCCATCAACGCTTCAGACAGCACGATTGACATCACAAAGCATCCAATATATCTTCGTCAAGCTTCATTGATTGAACAGTTAATCAAGGTCAACCAAAAGCTCGAATCTCGCGTCTTGATGATTGAAGCTGAGGTCTATAACAAAGCCCAACCTAAATCTTTACATGAAAGAAGTGGGGGTAAAGACAAAGAACCACCAGCCAAACGTCGCCGAACGAGCTCGTCAACAAACCTGAAGGACGTATGGTTTTGTTGGTATACCCAGGAACCCCGCCTCTGGGATTCGTTTGATAGCTCTAGCAAGCACACGAAATCCACCGCCAAACTTGTCGTTGCATTCATGAAACTGTTTATTGCTGATGGCTTCGTGCTTGATGAGAAGTCTCCGCAGTATCGAGACGATGTGTTGAAATCAGGCGATGTCGCTGAAATGCAGTTACTTTCGTTCATTGGCGAGCACAACATCAAGGCCCGCGGAGCACAAAACGTTCTTAAGTCCATGCGCAAGCTACACAAAGCTGGTCATCTAAGCAAACACATCCAACGATACAGACAGCTTCAAGCCGCCGGGTGCATTGTAGATCCAGCACCTGCGCATACTACAAACATCATCGGATAGATTGTCAACCCTCAGTACCCATAGATGATGGTCTTCACGCCATTTTATACATGCTGAGTGATTCCGCACTAATGAAGGAGAAATACAACTAGTACATATTAACAGGATCGGCGAAACACTTTAGCTCGTCCTTATTCTCATGATACAGCGTATATACATCATGGTACAACAATCCATTTCACCCTTAATCGTCGAGGTCAATTCGCTTAAAATGTTCTTGGACATGACAATATCGTATCACGATGTACACCATTTACGCACGGGGAACATGTCATCCGGGTAGCACACGGGCGGCATGTAGTCCACCATGTAGCTGCTTACCTGTCATTAAATACAACACAACGATCAATGCGCAGTCAATAAAGCGCGTATAAATACACATGGACACGGGTGCATGTACGCAGCAAACGCGTTGTGCACCATTTACGCACCCGGAACAGGTCATCCGGGTAGCACACGGGCGGAATGTGGTCCACCATGTAGCTGCTTACCTGTCATTGAATACAACATAACGATCAATGCGCAGTCAATAACGCGCGTATAAGTACACACGGACACGGGTGCACGTGCATATACATTGAAGCCCCATCATGTACAACTCGTCCACAGTCTACGTGTCGTAATAAATTGACACGTTGGCACAACTCACGATGTCGTGAAGCAGATCAGCACGTAATATTTAACTTTCGAATACGCACACAAGGAAATCAATTTGCTTCAATCAATCATATTTTAAGCCCCCTGTCCACTTATCATTGCTAGCACAAAAATGCACACAAAATTGCACACTATTACTCAATTCCGTACTGGCTTTGTCCCGGTCGGAGCGTGTCGGAGGTCGGAGATTTCATTATATGGTAAGTTTGTTGGCTGCAATTTCGATGACATGTTCTTTATGTTGGACGTTACTCTTGATTAGAATGTATCGTTATAGTCGAGCGCTGACTCACTGCAAGAGTATGTTACGATGACAGGCTATCCTGTGCAGTCCCAATGCGCTCTTCGATTTACAGTTGATTCGCCGTTTGACCTTGCTGTAATCAATTGAGGCTCTAAACGCACATACCGAAGTAATTTATATAACAAGACCTCGGTTTCGAAGCACTGAAGAATGTGATCTGATACAATAAGCATACTACATTCCATCGTATATACCGATCTGCATTCACGTCATACATATATACATAACATCTACCGTCACCCATCTTCAGTCATCGTGCAATCGCGGCGTCTCATGTAACAGACCGATCAGCTCAGGCATGCGCTCGTTTTTATCACTTTCAATCTGCTTTTTTGTCGACACAATCGTGCTGTGTGGACATCCATCTTTCTGCTATGCATTAATGCCCTCTCATGCACGCATCTATTGTGCGGCCGTTGCCTCTGCAATTAGAGAATAATTCAGTGTTCTAGTGTTGTTGTATCACATCCAGTGGAGCAAGAACAAAGTCACTTACGTGTTTTACAGTGACAAATGCTGTTGGACAAGTAATCTACCAATCTCGAAGCTAACAGCTGTCGAAGGGTCTGTCCACTGATCGCTGTTGCATATTAGGAAACGAAATGGATCCTGACAATGAAAGTAAGATAACACTTGCGTATGCAATGCGAAGGTTTGCTTAACGTTGCTTTTGTTGTGCACTTCTGCAGCACATGAAAATGCTAGTTAAGATGGCAAGTGATTCATTTCATATCAAAGGAGCCCAGATCGGGCGCAGAAAACCAGGTAAGGCCATAAACCCGCGTAGGCTGGTGGTTGCATTCATGAGCTCAGATCATGCAATTCCATACATTGTTGATGAAATGATAAATATACAGGAACGTAATGGCGTACGCCGACGTCGATGCACAACGCGGCCGGGACGTATAACTCGCAACGTCTTGTATAACTCGCAACGTCTTGCATAGCGGGCCGCTGACGTTGGAGTTGAACTCAGCCATTACCCACGTTACTTAAGTCTTCGCAAGCGTTTGGATCGATCGCTCTAGCGTGATCTCGAAAAAGCAACCATCCAACTCGCACATACATGTTACGAGTACGGAGATGAAGACGTGTTACGTCGCGTGTTGCCAAATTACATTATGATAGCAAAGGTGTCGTTATTTCAGAGATTCCTATGGCGTTAGTCACAAACGTTTTAGCACTGTAGTACAATTTCAACGTCAAGATATGTGCCTGTATTGTACACGTCTGCAACATCAGTTATTCCAATACTCTCTTCATTGTCGCGCAGAAATTCATCAAGTGGTGGGGAGTTTACCTTGGGTTTTTCTAGTCAGACAAAATGGAAAAGATGGTGTTACGCACATACCCATTCCTTATCGGATCGACAGCGATTGATGTGATGCATGTGTATATTATTGAATTGTGCCTAGGATATAGGGATGTGCTATCCAGTGCACCATATGGCAAGCTAAAATATTATTGACTCACCATCTGAAAGCTCTAAAAAGTCTTAGGGTGCAAAACTAGCGAGCTTCAACAATTATCAAATCGCTCTTGATTCTGGAACGTCCATCCCACAGTACCATGTTGACTAGCTGGCGAAGGTGGAGGAGAGGCCTGAACGGAAAGTAACATTTTATCTCCTCTCAGGATCCCGATGATGGTAATCTGCTACCTTTGTGCACTTCATTGCTGAACTATCATGTACTGCTCGTAAAAATGTCCCGCCTCGTATCGTGAGACGGGTCCAAAGCGCTCGTCGTGCTTCCTAGCCAGAAAGATACCGTACACCTGCAAATTTAACGACCGGATGTCGACGTAGCCGGTCCATGAACTCGTTTCGTAGCGACTTGCACCTGACGAATTTAATGGTTGGACACCAGTCCGTGAGCAACGAGCACTGCTTCGGCACCGCGTATCTAGATCCAACAATCTACCCGTCCATCTGCAAACTTACCACGTTTTCGGGACTCTACCTGCTCAAAGCATGCTGCCGGCGTCCATCGTCGTAGTTGCTCTGGCCGCCCTTTTAACGAGCACTATGGTCGTCTCGAGTACTATCGATCCAAACGCTGTTGACGAACATGATGTCCCTCTTTCCTCGCGCGCGAGGGATGGCTACGGCCACAACGCAAATGCAAGACCGTTTTTAAGGACTGCTCATACCTTCAAGGACTCGAATACGCTGCAACCCGATGAGGAGGAGAGAGGTGTATTTACCATCGCTGACGAATTGAAGCCAGCGACGGCGAAGCTCCTGCAACGTCCCATCGTGGGGAAGACGGCGGACGTGGCCGTAGCAGCAGCGGTAGAGGCGAAAGAACTAGCTCATCAGCTTGCTCTGCAGTACAAGATAACCATCGGCGAGCTGTCGGAAAAGACGAATCTGCTTTGGAACAAGCTCGCGGCATCCCCGACCTTCGCAAGTCTTAAGACCGAGCTCACTCAGTTTGTACAGAAGATCCTAAACACGAAGATTGGCGACACAACGATTGGCGAGCGCTTCAAAGCAGCTGAAGCGAAAAAATCGTTCAAAACAAGCGCAGATTCGGATGCTGTTCGAACAACAGCGAGTGCGGCAAAGGTCCTTCACGACGACACCACAGCGAAAGCGTCTGTCGGAACCAGTATCGGGGATGATGGCAAGTTGACAGCAAGTGCCGGACCCGGGGTAACCGAAGATCACAAAGCGACGGTGGGTACTGAACCCATTGCCTTGGTCAACGACAAGGTGAAAGCAAGTGCCGGACCCGGTGTCGAGGGTGATGCCAAAATGAAAGTGTCTGCCGAAACCGATCTCGTGGATGACGGCAAGGTGACAGCGAGTGCCGGGCCCGGGATGACCGAAGATCACAGAGCGACAATGAGTGCGGAATCCGGCGCTTTGGTCAACGACAAGGTGAAAGCAAGCGCCGGACCTGGTGTCGTGAGTGATGCTAGGGTGAAAAAAAAAACTCGGCTCAGTTCCACGAGTGGCGAGAGATCAAAAGTGAGTCCTGGACTTGGTTTTGCGTATTACGACAAGACGAAAGCGGGTGCAGGACCCGGTATCGTTGATGCTGCCAAAGTCGAAGCGACAACCGGTCTCGCAGTCGCAGATGGTGCTAAAGCAGAGCTGACCAATAAGTTTGCTCGGGATGATGGGGTGCCATATACGGCGATCTCGACTCAGCCAGAGGGCACAAAGACAGATTTCCTGAGCACTTTGGCTGATAGCTTGAATCTTGCAACACTCACAAACACGTTCACGGAGCTCATGGAGGAGGTAAAAAGCTGGAACTTCGGCGGCGAAACGCTAAAAGAACACGGCACAAAGGCTGAAATGGAGAAGTTGCTTGGATGAGGCGCAACACAGATCATGACAAGCTAAAGTGAGTACTGAAATTGGCCTCGCGTGAAGCTGTGTCAAAGGTGAATGGGCGTGCCAAAGTTGTTGTGCTGTCTTGGCCTATAGCGGACTTTGGCACCGATAGCACCACATTCCTTAATGACTAATTATCAATACACCTGGTTTAGCTGCTGCTGCTTAGTTCATTCGCATTGACAATCACGATCACACGCTAGCAAAGTGAAGCATTGTTGCCATTACCCGTACTGATACGCCTTCTGGTGTGAAGTTTCGATGCTGTAAAACGATTAAAGATCGTTCGAGGCTCAAATTGTGTAGCACGAACTCATCATCGTAACGGTATCGATTTCATTTGCCAAGAAATGATACGCGTCTAATAGATGATATATCTGCCTTATCATATCTCTTGCCACGAAGTCGCTGCACCATAAACACGTCCACATTAGCACTTAATATAGAAATCCTAGGCGCGATCTTACTGATTGTCGTATATTGCGTGACCGCATTGATTAACTACGACAGCCATCAATTGCTGCTGTCCACGCAAACAGCAGTCTGGACGTAAGTAGTGATGATTTGGAATGCTCTTTTCTACAGCCACTCATACAACTGCATCCACGCGTGCGATTCACCTATATCAACCGAAGCGCGATCAAAAAAATTGTTGCGATATAATAGGTCCATATACTCGTGAAGATACATAATGCAGTTCCTTTCGTACGATAAGCAACGCTACCAACGTGGTCACTGGTAAAAATTGAGCGACACGACAACTACTTGCGACGACCACGCATGCTAAAATTCAGAACTTCTCAAGCGCTATTGTACTCAACACAACATCTTTGCTAAGTATGCCTACGACGATCATACAATGGACCATACGATGATCGTTTACTAGCCCTATGTCACTCATTCGTTACATAAACCAGCAGCATCATTTCTTTATCATGGTGAGATATCCGTTTACAAGGAATGTACTGCCTATATCGCTACGTAGAGTCCCCACCCATCTCAAACCTTAATAAACAAGCCCCACTACACAAACTTCTCGGATAAAGACATTTGACAGGCATCACAGATAAAAATATACATTTGAATTGAAATGATAGGTGAGTTTTTGGAGTGAAAATGCACAGTGGTATCGAAAGGTGTGTTACCAAAGATTTATGTCGTGTGACTCCTCAGACCTCCCGGGGGTGATCTGCGAGTACCGCGGCTCGGTTTGAACTCGCCAGGGGCCCACACCCCTCATTACACTATGGAGCTTTTCGGCTAGTAGGGCCTCCAGCCCACTTAACTATCACACACCCTTCGGTGCGGGTTGGCAGGGCGGCCACCCATTGGGTTATTGCTCGTCATACTTTATTAGCCTATCTCCGGCGCCCTGTAATCGAACCCCCCTCCAGTATATCGATCCAGGTACCTCCCGGTCCCAGCTCTAGTGGTCTACCACTCGGCCACTGGGGCCGGTAAGGTGTGTTACCATAGCAAGCTTTTTGAAGTATAATCGACTTTAAAATCTGCTGACTAAGATTTCAGCTTGTTTCACTCGATCTGGCGGATGAGTCCATCGCATGACACTGACATTACATCAAATGTGACTGTCAATGATTCTAAGACGAAACCTCAAGGTTAGCACCGCAAAGAAAATCCACTATGAGAAAATAACGATATGATTCGGATGCAGATAATAGTATGCTGCGCATTCCTCGTATTATCCATTTGAATCAGCAACGTTGTCATCGCTGAATAATATGTGTGAAATAAGTAGTCGGCAGGTTAGCAACAACATATTCGTATTTTCGTACGACACATTCAGCTTAGGCTTGCAGCAGATTACATTGAATGTTTGCAATTTATATAACGTAACCTACAGGATAAGTTTTGGTGGAGGAGCCACTGTGATTCTTGGAGGTGAGAAGGTGAGGTATATTTAGGTACACGTACGACGCCACTATATCCTGTCGCAGGGAAATTAAGTCACTGCAGCGACGACTACTTGATAAACTTGGCAACACTAGGCCGCGTACAGCAGAGCGTCTGCGAGCAGGCTAGTGTCTAGAGATGATCAGTTTTCTTGGTGTAAGCGCGGGGCCTTGGATTACACGTTGGTCGGTGTGAGAGACAACCAACCATTGGCTGACATCATTGTCGAAAAAAGCCGTAGCCTCCTTGACAGTTCATGGTCGGTGGGAGTATACAGTTGAAGAGCAGTTCCTGTGTTCATAGCGATATTCGCCAATCATTCCGCCATTTTGTTTAATTTGCGATAATGGTGTCTACAGCTGGCCCATCGACATCTTTTGAGAAGGCGCGAACTTCTCAAAAAATTATCGCACAAAACGTGGTCTGCGCGGAGGGTGCAGACTTCGTAGTTGAGAAATCACTAGTGAACTGTCTCCAACTACATGCAGCCGTGAAGAGACGATTGTTTTTGCTTGTCGATGACCGTAAACGAGACTCTTTTATTCCGCAACAGTGTTAGTGGTATCAAAGGAGCCATACGCCATGCTCGATGCCCACAGGCCGCAAGCAGAGTGCGTCTGAGTGAAGAGCTGGACAATAACAAATACAGCTCCTCTAGGATCTGTATTCCCGCGAGAAGTTCCGTTAAAAAACAGGAGGTACAGCATTTCAGGGGTACCGTTCGTGAGGCAGAATGTGCAGTGACGGAGATTCATCGGAGCAGAGGAAATTATCGGCCAATGCTGACCACACTTGTGCAAAAAAAAGGCCCGTCTTCCCCTTTGTCAGGCTGGTGCGTTGACTCCCGAAAACGGCGAACCAACCATCGAAACAGGGTATTGACTCTGACTGTATGTACATTCTGCTTCAAGGACAAGTCTTCCATGCGTCAAAAAAATCGACTTAGATTAAATGGAGTGTAGTAGATACAGCAAAACGCCACAGATCGCGAGCTACTGAGAAGGCCGCAGCCTGAGCTATGAAGTATCAGCGCTTGGGTCGAGATCCTGTCGAACAACATCTTAGGCATGTTGAGAGATCCCCGGGATGTCCATGCAAAACATCCAGACGTGTAAGTCCGCTTCTGTGAAAGATCCAAGTCATCGCCATCGATCAAGTAGAAACTATCAGTAGGGATGCCCACGAAAGCAGGTCCAATGTATATGGCTCGTCATTGATGAAATAGCCATCGCACACTCAGGCGAGGGGCACGACATATCTTGGGTAATCCAAGTCCATAGAAGACAGCTATTGCTCCTCAGCCGAAACAGAGTCTGAGATCTGGTCAGAAGGGACGGTCGTATTCTTCGGATATCTTTCCAAGTGATCTATGGTGTACCTTTCGAAATAACGAAAAATTTAGTCTTCACCAAACGCTCATCCAGAAGTCATGTTCCTTCAGCACGGCGCCGCCAAAATATAATATGTTCAGGTTTAATATAGGTGGGCTGCCATCATTGACGTTCAGCCCACCCGTGTACCACGAGAGTGAGCGCCGGATGCACAACTGACTGTAGACGAAGCGATATCGCATGCCAACATCGACGAGACCGACACCTCGCGTTCCATGCCTATTTCGAAATGTGTCAGTGATGTACCGTGACAAGTTAAAAGCCATACATGAAACCCCCCGGTGTATCTTCGACACGTACGCAATCAATGACCCCGGTTCAAGTGTCTGATATTCCAGCGATGGGATTTTTGCAAAGAAGGGCGAGACAAATGGACTAGGAATGCCACCAATTCACCATAGGATGGGTTCTATGTCTCGCAAGGAAGGGCGAGACAAATGGACTAGGAATGCCACCAATTCACCATAGGATGGGTTCTATGTCACACAGATTGGATACAGACAATGCCACTTCGAACGTTCGCCCAAGACATTGTGTCGAAATTTAATTATGCGTTCTTTCTCATTCAGCCCCGTTCAAGGTACAGACCTGACACCATCGGTCCCCCAGCCACGACATACAGAATAGAATGGCGTGGAATTTCCATTTGTGGTACAATCACCATGACGGCGCTACTTCATATCTCATCCCAGCACGCAACTTGTCATCAAGTACCCGGCGAATACCAATTGTGACACTGTTTTTTCATTATTAGCGAGCTCGGCTCTCGATGTAAACGAAATGACCCATCGTCAGACCTCCTTGACCTTGCATTGACAGGCACTTTTATCTGTCTGAACTCCAACAATATCGTAACCAGTTTTTATCGAAATCTCTCGATGTCAGGGTGCTTGTCTTCTGTCCAGCAAGGAGTGATGCAAGCCGGACATTACGCAGGAGAGCTCCCTCAGAAGTCACTGATACGAAAATAGTGCGAAGAAATTGTAGCTTTCCACTTTCGAGATGCTGCCTCCGCCATAGTCATCAGATGCGACCGAAAATAAGACATCGCTTGTCACCCCTTCTAGACTGGTTAAGCAGCCATCTCGGAAGGTATCTAGGGTCAAGACCACTTGTCGTCACGAACACCCCAGACGAAGTTCAGATAATTATGAATAACCAGGAAACTACGGAGGGAGGAGGCCATCAGCGCCGTGCTTAGAGAATAAAATTTTGAGCCGCGATGACACTGGCGAGATAAGCACGTTGTTACACAGTGTGATTTTCACTCGAAATAGGACAAGCCGGCTCCATAAAGAACGAATGAACTTGTTTAAAACTATTTTACTGCCGCAACAGAATACCAAGATACCGTCATGAGTCGCTGTAAGACTGTATAGAAAGATTACACGTGTCAAGGAGAAGCGTTGATCCGCAAGGGTTCAATTTAATGACCATTGACTTCGCTTGATTAAAAAGAAATCCGACACTACGCGAAATAATCGAGAATTACTACGATCGGTGTAACTCATCTTTAATAAATTAAAGTAAAATGCAGTATCGTCCGCGTAGCCCGAAGCTTTGAACTCATTAGACTGCCCTCCAGATGTGTTAGATACCTTGCGAATACCTACCCACATTTGTATCACCCGAAAGACACTCTATAGAGCGCGAACAAATCGAAATGGAGCAAGAGGG